GAATTTTCAATAACAACACAGAGAGTTCTTGAAAGGAAATGAAGAACACTAAGAATTTCTTCGCACACAGGAGAGCAAGGGAGTAGAAGAGAATAACCGATTGCGTTTAGAATTCACTAAGTAATCTTACAAAAGCTAGTTGTGTGCATGGGAGATGCACAATGCCTTTTTATACTACTTTCATCATTTAATGCATGGGGACACTTGTCACTTGAGGATAAGAAGGCAGGGGTTGACTTGACCAATGTTGATATCTCATTTTCATCGTACACAGCGTGCATACAACACTGTTCATGCAGAGACAAACGTTGCAGAGATATGGTCAGTCTGTAGGAAGATCTCCTTTGGATGGATATGTAGCTTCAAGCAGCTACTCTCACATAAAGCCATATTATAACATCGACTGAGATAAAGAATAAAATGAAATATTAACATCACGATGTATCTCGCTGCATTGCGCCAGTACGCTTCTAGTATATACATAAAATATAGAATTAATTATCCAAATCGAGGATGAAAGATATCCCTACCCCTAAATTCAGAGATTCTCCATCCCCAATCGACTCAAAGATTCCTCGATCAAACCAGGGTCGAATATTAGGTTCTTGATCGGATGTTGGTAAGTTATTTTCATCCCTATACCCAACTTATTCCACGTACCCAGTAGAGATTCTTTTCTTCTATACCTGGTGGTGGTTAAGGCATTTCTAACAGCTTTTTCAAAATGGATAAAATGAAGATACTAAGGATTTTGAGCCTATATTTTGTTCCAACAACTTGTTAGTCCCGAAGAGAATGACAATAAACAGAAAGTAATTGTAGAAGGGTTGAATACAATTACACAGACTTTTTAATTGTTATTGATTTATATCAATAATTAATACACACAAAAATACAAAAGATTGTTACGGAAGATAGGAAAGGAAAACCTAACCTAAACAATCTTACAAGGAGAAGAATTTTCAATAACAACACAGAGAGTTCTTGAAAGGAAATGAAGAACNACAAATCTTCGGTCCATGAAGATTTTCAATCTTCGGTCCATGTTCTTCAATCTTGAGTTTATGAAGATTTTCAATCTTCGGTCCATGATCTTCAATCTTGAGTTCATGAAGATTTTCAATCTTCGGTCCATGATCTTCAATCTTGAGTTCATGAAGATTTTCAATCTTCGGTCCATGATCTTCAATCTTGAGTCCATGAAGATTTTAAATCTTCGGTCTATGAAGATTTTCTTTCAATCGGCTTGTAGCATCAAAATATTTTCAATATTCATTTAAGCTAATTTGGAGTCTTGGTGTATATATTAGACAGTTGATCCACAACAACGCATCGGTGACCTTCTGTCTTCACATCGGCTAGTCTTCGATTTTGCCAATGGCTTAAGTATGTACCAAGACATCAATATACAAAGAACCAATAACTACAAAGTGTTGCTAATGTAAAAGAACAGATCAGTGGGTCATCATCAAATCAATAGGTGACCCAACACAACTTTCTTAAAATTATCTCTAAAATAAAGAAAATAGGAGAGAGAAATGTTTTTTCCTTAAATATGAAGATCATACCAAAAATAATTATCAATTAAAAATCATAATAAGGAACTTTGAAAATAAATATTTAAAAAGAAAAACAATATTTAAATATTATAATAAATATTGAATTTTTTAAAACGAACAATTAGAGATAAATGTAAAAATTTTAACGATTTTAAATCAAAACTCTGAACAAATTTTGGAGATGCTGATGAGGTTGGGGCCTGGGGGGCGGAAACAATGTCTTTCCCGGTTGGTGATTAATCAAAATAAATTTATATATTTATATTCCCTCCACTCTAGGGTTTTCTTCGATTCCCCCGGAACACTAAAACCGTTCGCCGCTGTTCATTGTGAAAACATGAAGACGATACTGTCATCGGAGACAATGGACATCCCTGAAGGCGTCGAGATCAAAGTCAAGGCGAAGATTATTGAAGTGAAAGGACCAAGGGGAACCCTAACTCGCAATTTCAAGCATCTCAACCTCGATTTCCAGCTCATTACCGACGAAGAGACCGGAAAACTGAAGCTGAAGGTCGATGCGTGGTTTGGATCTCGCAAAACCACCGCCGCCATCCGTACAGCACTCAGCCATGTCAGCAATCTAATCACCGGTGTTACTCAAGGCTTCCGCTACAAGATGCGTTTTGTATACGCTCACTTTCCGATCAATGCCAGCATTACTAACAACAACTCTGCGATTGAGATCCGTAACTTCCTTGGTGAAAAGAAGGTCCAAACATTTTCGTATTTATGCTTTTTGACATCACTTTCTTTGCTGTTAGTTTCTTCTGCCTTGATGCTTGTTTACAGCGTCGATATTCAAATGTTTCGTCTATGATTGGTATGTACCATAATTTCTGGTTCTTCCACTGTGTGAATGATTAGTAATTCGTTATTTTTGGTTATTTCAGCTAGCAGATACTCGATTATTTCTTTTGCGTTTGATTTCAAATCTTTTTCGTTTCGACTGTTGTTTTGTTAATGCTTATGCGTTGGCCCTGCGATAATGAGAGCTTGTTTCTTCTAGTTCCAAATAACTTTGATTACAATGTAGTCAAGAATGTGAGCTTATCTAATGGATATAAACATTTTTGGTTAGTAACGCTTAAGACTACTTCTCTGGAAGATTTAATTCTTTATTTCTAGTTCAATGGATTAATTTAACTATGAAATAGATACTAGTTGTTTTGGTTATAGCTAAAAAGTTGATGATGAAAGTGTATCAATTTAAGTTTTGTGTTTGGAAAGTATTAGTTTGAGTTTTCACCTTCAATATAGGCTGTAACTACAAAAGAGGGATTAGCTGCTTTTTGGTTGTTGATTTCGTCGGAATTATTTGTTTGATAAAAATTTCGTTTCAATTCTTTTCATTTTTGGTTTAATACAGTTCAGCCCTGAGCCCCTGATACTTATTTCTTTGCTCACATGTTGATGCTGGTACAGATATAATGCTTAATTGCTTATTATTATTATTATTATTATCATGTTAATTATATTCTATTACTCTACTTACAAGTTCGTACTGTGGACCTGTGGGGTATTGTATCGCCAAATTTACATGGAACTCTTACCTAAACAATGCGTGAGTCAATTTTACAAAATGATAGAGAGATGGATTAGAATGTTAGTTATACGACAAGAACAGAGTGATTGAATTGGTGGAGTTTCGGTTTTGGCTTTCTGGTAATTAGTCATTCATGTTTCAGATGTTGACATCATCAATATTGTCTTCCTTGGGATTAACTTGGTACCATAATCCTGGTTTATATCTGTTAGTTTGGTCTTTGTTTTTTTAGAACTTGTCAGCTTATGGAAACTGTCTCAGCTGTGTGTAGGGTCTGAAAGTTTGTATTATTTGGAATCAGTTTGAAGGTCTGTTTACTTTGGGTGGTTTATATTGTCTATAAGTATGTATCTGTCATACACTATTAGTATTTTTCTGCTTTTCATTTCATAAAGAAGTCGAAATGGTAACTAAAATTTAAGTTCGTAGGATGTCGGTAAGACCTGCTATGGTTTACGAGGCATGATGTTGGATCATCCAAAAACATTAGCACAAGATTGGTGCTGCTAATTTGAGATGAACGTGCGGCCAACATTGAGGGTATGCACGAGACCCGGGGGGGGGGGGGGGGATGTCACTGGTTTTGTTGAAGTAGAAGCAACACCAATTTAGGTGATGCTGAATTCTCCAATTGCAAGCTTTCAAATGCTGGCTAGAAGAGCTCATTTGTACCATAGAAAGTCATAAGGAGAGGCAGTTTCCAGTGGTAAATGTTGGTGTTCCACGGCTTGGGATTGTGCTGTTTTTAAGTTGGGCACAAGTGATCTTGAGATAAATATGCCTAGATTTCTTGGAGTTCCTTTAATTTTTTAATGGGGATTGTCTCTTGGTAGTTATGTTATTTATTTTAAGCAACTGTCAGTAGTCTCTTTTTTGCCTGTTTTAATGAGTTTAATCTGATGAGATGAGTTTGAATAACAATATTTTGTTTTGATGTATAGGTGAGGAAAGTAGACATGCTTGACGGCGTTACTGTAGTCAGATCTGAGAAGGTGAAGGATGAACTAATTCTGGATGGAAATGACATTGAACTTGTTTCTCGATCATGTGCCCTAATAAACCAGGTATCTTTTTCTTTACCAGACTAGCCAATCCCATATGATTTTGACCACCCATTTTGCCTCCTCACAAAACATTCTAAAGGCTCCCATGTTTTTTATATATCTGCAGAAATGTCATGTAAAGAACAAAGATATCCGTAAGTTTCTTGATGGTATCTATGTGAGTGATAAAGCAAAGATAGAAGAAGAAAACTGAGTTTTCAGGGTACCAGATCATCTCCCTTCTCAATCAGATTGTTTTTTTTGAAGGATATATGAACTCTTAGGTTTGAAGTTTCAAAGTTTTGCGATACAAAGACTTTAAAGTCTTGTGACGGCTTCTGTCACCATTATACCGTTTTTTCTCTGGTTTTGTTTTGAATGTAGCTTGGTGTCATTTATGTTAAGAGGAAGAAAACCGTAGTTTAGCCACCAGTTTGTTGTTCATTTATGAACGACAAATAAACTCACCTTTATGTCTCTTTAACATATTCGAGTCACAAGTTAAAAGTTAGAGCCGCAATGTGTAATTCTTTGTTAATGATGCCAATTACTTAGCACATTTCATGCTTTATTAACTTTATGCACCCTTGATTGTTTGTTTTAATTTTCATGTGGTTTTAGTTAGCATAATTCATTTTTCTCCTAGTATGTTGTTTGTATATATAAAATCATGTTATTAGACATGTTTGATTCAACTTTTTACACCAATTGGTATGCGAAGAAAGCATATCTGATCTTCATATGCAAAATTTTGAATTTGTTTGGTTTAGGGGCCGTTTACTAAACGCTTACCTGGTAAGTGCTTACCGGGTCACTTACCTTACCAGATGGATGTACATGGCAAAGACCTAGAATCTTACCGGGTAAGACCGATGGCAAAAACCGAGAGCCTTACCTGGTAATGAGGGGACGACTTTTACCTGATTAGCTTACTAGATGTCTAGATATACTATTGCATAAGATGCTGCTTTTTATTGATTAGAATCTTACCCGGCAAAGTAAATGAGAGTGTAGACTCTCATACGTAAGCGCTTACTAGGTAAACGACCCTCAGTATAGGAAGAAGAAGGCAAGATTAGTATTGTACCTCAGTTTCATGGTGTTCTGTCTATTGGCAAAAAGGGTGACTAATAAGTTGTCGTTAAAGTGATGAAATGTGAAGAACAAATGTGTGTGGAAATGGTTAGTCTTTTCTTTATTTGAAAGCATGCTTGGTATTGATTAGAAGTGGGGTCGAAATATGATATAACGTGGGACAAATAAATGAGTTTCTTTTTCTACAATAATTGTTGGTGTACGAGTGAGCCTATCACCTCCTTGATGTCTCTAACCTTTCTTTGGCTTGCAACTGTCAACAAATTTAGTGTTATTTCAATGATCTTCATATTTAAGTATGATGTCTATTGGAATGCTTGTTAATTATGTAAATCACTTGAGTTTGTAGATCCACCTCAGCATAAGTTAATAGCCTCCGAGGACGAGGATAGACTTGAAATGGGAACCATGGACTGTCTTTATTAGTTGAGAGTTTTATTGTACAATGAGCAAGGAGTAGTTTTATTTGTTGTATGTAACTGGATAACGTGTGTCAGGACTCGAGATTAATAATCATTTAAGACGTTAAAATGGACCAAGGTTTAAATGGTAGGCGTATTTCTTTGGATTAAATCCTGACACCTTTTTTCACTTTCTTTAGCAAAAGTGCAGTATGTATGTTTGCTATGTTGGTATGTGTGTTAAAAAACACATTGATTCTAGTTTACTTAGCCCAGTGAAGTTCAATTTTGGTTCCTCATGTTCATTTGGTATCATCTCTAAATGTTAAAAACTTGAATTTGGCCCCTCACGTTTGTTAATTTCTCCAACAGTTTTTGTCCGTTAACTTGATCAGTTAAGTACAAACAAATGAGGGGAATTTATCCTTTAAAAATTAAAATATATCAGAAAATGAATAGAAAAACAGGTGGTATATGAAGGAGAGTATTGACGGCAAGAAGGGAAGGTACCAGAGGCGATGATCATTATATTTGTGGTCTCATCTTTTTAGGAGGGTGGGAGAGATGTGATTGTTTTAGGAGAGAGAGGAACATAGTTTATGGGAGAAAGGATATAGATTTTTTTATTTATTTTTAAAGTGGTGTGACTATTGACTATAAAAAATAAATAATATGGATGTCTTTTATAAGATTAGCATTCTGTGATGGTTAGTTTATTGCTTTTCATATGTAAGGTCTTATATTCAAGTTATTTATTGTAAGTTTTTTTTCTCTAGAAATAAATAAATTTGAAATTGAAAGCTAAAAACAAAGCAAATGAAACTAACAAGATTTGAACTCGGATTTGGGAACTTGTATCCTCATTGTAGTTTCAAAATATATGGTGACACACAACAAATTGATACGATGACCACTTTTCATGACCTTATAATTTTGTATATTATGACGGAGAATGAAGCAGAGGTGGTGGTGTTGGTGTTTTTCTTTTTTTATTTTACAATTTATAATCCAATAACATATTATAAATATGCTTTAACAGAAAATAGGTAAAATGATTAGAAATGCCCATCTTTTAATTGTATTTAAAAGTAGTGAACGCGATTAGAGACATGGATGATAGTTGTTGGAAATAGAAATTGACAAACATAAAAGACCAAATTCAAGTTTTTAAAGTTTAGGGACGATATCAGTTAAAAAAATACAAATGTTAGGGATTAAACTGAATTTTTTTTCTGACCGATAGATATTTCTTATATTGTTGGAAAATGTAAGCATAAAAACAGAGAATAAAGTGTGGTTAAATGGTAGCTTTTAGGAGGAGCTCGAACAAAAAACTCAAAAAGAAGCAACTTGATGAAGTTCAGATCTAGTACCCATTTTTATAGCAAAACCTCTTTCTAAAGGTCATGGAAGTTTAGGGGGTTTGAGTTTTTCCCTAAACTACGAACAAAATTGCTAAATACCATGCGATTTTTACATAAACCCCATATTTAAATATTCAATCAATAGAATAATGATAACAATATTTACAGTTAGTTATAATATTTAAGTTTTATAGCTCCTACAATACAAAGTGTGAATTAATGATAGACACTTGCACATAATGTAAGTAACTCCAAATATATAATCAAACTTTTAGGATATAATTTTGTAGTTGTAAATATATGTTATAAGTTTTAATAGGCTCTTCCTAATTGCTATCCATTTCGTACAAAATTACACAACACCTTTTGTAATAATATTGTGTTTTGGTCAGATTTTGATATATTTTACTGAAACCCATTTTGAGTCTCAACAATCAGATGTGAAAGTAATAGAGGAGATACTAAATAAATGGTAAATAAAAGAATATGTTTAAGTTAAAGAGACATGTATTAATTGTTCAAGTGAAAAACCCTAAAGATGACCAACACCGTAGGTGACATCGAGTATGTGTTCCACTAGTAGAACAAGGGTGTAGACGTTGTGGATGAAAGTGATCATTAACAGTTGCTCGTGTGTTCAATGAAGCTGCCCTGTTATTTAGGGGCTGTTTGGCAGTTGCAGAATGATTTAGTTCAGAATAGTTAAGAGGTTAGAATGGCTAAGAGGATCAGAATGGTTAAGTGCTGAATGAAACAAGGTTGTTTGGTAATTRTTCTCTGAATGATAGCAAATTACCATTTTAACCCTAGTTATGATTTAGTACTGAATAAACCAACATACAATTACCAAAGATGATGTTTCTTCATATCAGTATCAAATCCTCAAGAAATTRCAAAATRTCGATAATCCAATCATTATTAACATTGTTACAAACATGAAATAAACAATAAACACCATCAATTTCTAAAGAAAAATGATAAATTCCCTAAACCAAACCCTAGATTTATGCAAGATCAACGACCTGCTGGAAGAGGCGGAGAGGCGGCGAGCGACCAGGCGGCAAGGCGGCGAGCGAC